TTGTCCCTCCCTCTCTGCCTCGCCATAAATGTGGGATAAAGGATTTCATTTCCTGGGTGGTTGTTTTTTGTTGACAAGCATTTTATAGTTAGTCCTGAAACAGAAATATCCTAGAATCAGCACATAGAGACATTACCCTTTTCATCAGGGTTGAGTGAGTGGCTGGCATGCACTGCCGTTGTTCTGCCATTCATTCAATGATGCCATCTCAGGATAATTGTACAGATGCACTGTCCCAGCTGTCCTGGGATAAACTTTTAGTGCTTCTTATCCAAAGAACCTTTTTGGGATTTATCCCAGGAAAATGGACATGGATCAAATGGTCTATCCTGGGACATAGATGAAATGGTTTATCCTAGGGTAAATTCAATATCTGTTTGCATATCAATCAAATGGTACCCAAGAGACCCTCCCAGAAAGCAACTCAAATTCAGAGCAGATTCATATATGCCATTGTTTCCAATAGTGACACATGATTCTAGGATTGAAGCTGCCCTACTGTTTCTTACAAATAACCCAAAGCAAGGGTAGATTAAACCTCCTTGAAACTAGTAACTAATTAGAGCAATATCATAAATAGTCCAGATAATACTTAAAAAACCCAAAGAAACTCCTGATACAACTTCAGAACCTAGTGAAGATGAAGAAAGGGGATGGAGAATATCAAAAGGAGACAGAACCAATCCAAGCCCCAGAGCCCAGATATGTAAAAACGCCTTGAATTGGAATGGTTCCTAAGGGCAATAGGGACAGGTGATAAGAACACAGGACAGACAGTCGTCACATGACAGACTCCCAGCCTGGTGTGGGGTAATATAAAGAAAATACAGCCAGGAGATTCTCAGCACAGCAGATGTTGCCTCTCTACAGGGTCTAAAAAATGCTTGCCGCTCTTCTATTGCTAGGACTTCAGCAACAGAGATTGTCTCCTGCTTCCACTCTGTTTATATGGCAAAAGTTATATGGAACCCCTTGCTAAAACTAAACAAGGTTAGAAGTTAGCTCTATTTTAAATGGCTTTATAAGTCAAAATGAAAAACATGAATTACATGTTGAAACAAATAACAATTCAGTGAAGAAGACAGACTCTGGGCTAAGATGGTCTCTGTTGTAAACTGTGCTTTATAAGCAATCCCTACATTCTGTTCTGCCCAGAGATTCTAGGTGGGGCTCACAGTCATCCACTTCAAAGCACTCTGCATTATTCCAGAATTAAGAAGCTAAAGCTCTTAAAGTTCATTAATATTGAAAGCTAGCAAGCTGTGTCCCACTGCAGAAATGCCTCCCTCACAACTGGGAAGCAGCACCAATGGATAAAGATGATGCAGGAAAATGGAACAAACAGTAGGAGGAAAATGAAAAGTACAGTATATCCTAGAGAGCTCAAGAACAAATAAAATATTTAAAAAGAAGAACAAAGCTGCTTTTTAATTCCTGTCCAACCTATAATGTGACCTCACCTGTTACCAGCTCTAGGCATGTTCTGTATTAAACTCTCACCCTGTAAAAATCCTATGAAACAAACTGTCATAGGATTCAGACCCCATAGAGCATGGGGGGACTTTGATGTGATCCTCTCACACCCTGAAATTCCCAATCTCTAAGTTAGATTCAGTAACAAACTTTTAATGTTTCATATGCTACCAGTAGAGAAATATTAGTTTTAGACTTGTAGTCTTTTACAGTGCAATCCTGCTCTTCAATTCTACCTCATTACCCATTCTGAACTACAGACATGTTTGAAAGACACAGCACAGTTCTCTGCCTGTAACACTGTGATTTTAAACTGTGCTCCAGCTCTTTTTTTTTTCTTCGGTTTACTGCATTATGTTACTACGATGATTTTAACAGTTTAGTACAGCAGTTATCAAACATCTACCTGGACCAAAGTCAGGTGCCGTGTTAATTGATTTAATGCCTAAAATCAAAATAAGAACCCACTGAGGCGGATTAAAATTACAAAAGTGGTCCGGCAATTACTTTTTCATCAAGAAGTTTAAAACTGGGTACCAAAGTTAAGCTCCTAAAGCTATACACATCTTTCTACGGAGATTTTTTTCCCTGTAGCCCTTATTCAGAGCGGCATTAAAATCTGGCAAACTATAGCTCATTCTCTCCATCATCTTCTTCCCAAGGATGCACAATTATGAGGAATATACCATTTTGTTCTTATAGAGTGTTTGGGGGGGTTGTTAATATTTGTGTAATTACTATGTGCTATGCTTACACTAACAAAGACAAGGTGAGACATCACTGGGAACAGAAGGGGTGATATTTGTGTGAATTCCAATGGAAGCTTATTCCAGAGTTGGACCATACCTTGAGAAATTACCATCTCCTGCACATACCAACGTTGTACTATTTAGGCAAACACATAAATACCTCTTGATTTTCAAGCATCCTGAGTAATAACATCTCATGGAAGGGAAAAAAAAGAACTGGATGCTTAATTCAGTGCTTATATACTAATTCAGAGATCTATTTTTCTTATGTGATCTGAAAAAATCTCAAGTTCCAAAAAGTGATACACCACTTGCCCAATTTGTTGGAGTATCATGGTTAGCCTTGTGTAACTCAGATGTGCCAAACTGATTTACCGATATATTTGAGAAAGTTTTCAAAACCAAAGAATCTTTTCCTAAAGAAGACACACTGTTAGGTGCAGTACACAGGTGCATCTAACCATGTGTAAACTCCATGACATACAATTGACTACTGCACAAAAATGCCTACCCATGGTGACTATAAATTGAATAAATACATAAATATTTTTTTACAATATAAACCAAGATGTATGTCTGATTTTCTGAGGATTTCAGCTCTCAAGTTGTTTTCAACTCACTATATTGCATGTTTACTGTGCAGCTATTTTTCATTTCATGGAGGAACACATCCTGCTCCGACAGGCAAAAGCTAATCATTAAAATCTCCCAATATACTATCCTTCTAACCTGTGCCAAGGGTACTGCAAATAAAGGCAGCTCATAATGTCAAGTATTTGCATGTACCAGGAATAGTTTGTGTAAATCTTTGTTTTTAGTAACTAAGAACATTTCTTGAATTGAATCAAGAAAGGGAGTTGTAAAGTTCTGAAGCCAAACATAATAGAAAAATAGTTGGAAAAACTTTAAATATACTAGAAGATAAAATACTAGCTTTAAAAGCCTACTGAATATTAAAACAGATGTGGACTGTGTTAAGCTCTTCCTACCTGAACATCTTCTCACTAGAACCAAAACTATACCTTCCACAACTACAGTAAGTTTGAATGAATTTTCCTTGCCATCCTACAGCAAAATCAACACACTGCAGAATGAAGTCCCCTTTTCCAAACCAACTCTTGTCATGGAGGTTTTGTGATACATTTTATGGAAATATAATTATTTATTTTTCATATTATAGTAAACAATTATGGTTGGAGTCCTATTGTTTTTGATTCTGCACCAGAACAGTCCCCCATGCTACAAAGAGCATACAAACAATTCCTGAGAGGGTATTTATGTAATTATATCACACCCACACACACACAAATACCAACCCCACTTTGGCAAGGAGCACGTTTATAAATACATGCTCAAAGTTATGTTGATTTCTCTGCCCATAAAAATAACAAGAAATGAACAAAACATAACAAACTGCACTGTAGCAACATAAGAACAGAAAATAAACCAATATGACAGCTGCAGACACATGTGGCTTTACAGAATATTGAGAGGGTGCGACCTTCAGCTGGCCTACACAAAAGATCAATTAAAACCTGATTCCAAAGAATCCCAGGTGGAAAACAGCCTTCGGCCTAGCTTTAGGCCCTGTCTGCATGACAAAATAGTACCAGTCTACATCAGAGATGGTTATCCATGTTAGTCAGAAGGCAGGGTGGCACCTTAGAGACTAACAGGTTCAGAAAGGCATGAATTTTTGCAGACAACCACCTACTTGGTCAGATGGTAACACCAGCCAATCTGCATGGACAACCTTAAATCAAGGTAGCTAAAGCAGTGCAAGTCCTTGTAAGGAAACTTGTATTCCCATTTAAACCAGGCTTTATTTTGGTATTATACTGGCTTAAAAAAATGTCTGCTCAAGTAAAACAAGCCACTCAAAAAGAGCATCAACACAGGAACTTGCACTGGTTTGACTAAAATTCCTTAAAATACAAAGTTAAATGGAACCGTTGCAACTTTCTCATGTAAACAAGTTCTGAGGCATTTTACACGAGGAAGTTGCACCAGTTTGACAAATGCTGCAGCTTGAAGCAGATAAGAGTTAAAGCAGTGTAAACACTCATCTATCTCTTCTTTCCATTTAGTTTAAACTAATTAGGAATGAGTTTAAGTTCAACTTAAAATTAGTCTCTTTTTAAAATGAAGTAGGGAGTGCATATGGGGAACCTTGCATCAGTTTCCTATCATTTGTTTAAAAACCCACACAAGTTAAAACTGGTGTAATGTGGCACCTTGTTTCTATTACGTTCTATTTACCTCCTTAGGTCCCTGTATGGCCCTCTCACCATAACTGATTGGCTCAACCAGTCAAGGGAGCACCAGGCCTTGAGTAAGGCCCCTGCTACATGTTACGTATATTATGCAATGAATGGGTGAATTGCACGATAAATCTAGATCTGCCACATGTGGAAAGCAAAACCAGCTATACATGCAAAGTAATTATCATGTGATTAACTGGTACGTCATGGAAAAAATTTAGACCAGTGGCCACATGTGCAAAGTGATCCGACATGATAAAAATGGCTATCCAGCTATAAAAAGACCTAACCAGCTATAAAGTTAGTGCTTGAAAACATGTAACAACTCTACAGCTGGCATCTACCCAGCTTTGATTTGAGCAAGTGGCAGGCCCCTAATTCACCTTTTAAAACAGCAGGTAATAAACCAGCTGCCCATCAAACCAAGACTGCAACTATGTGCAGGGCGCACACAGGAAACATATGCGTGTCATAAAGGCTTGTTAAAAAACTAATCAAAAGCAAGGAGGTACTGTACCTGTGGGAAGCAGACTCTCCAGTGGAGTAAATGCATGCTCCATAGCTGCTTAGGACTGCTCTGCTTTTAAGACAAAACACAGAGGGCTGGTTACAAAGATGCTTGCAAACTTGTGGCTGCTCTTTAAACCTTTATTATTTACTTCTTCTTTGCCTTGGGCAGGAGGGGTCCTGAAAAAGTAGGGGGCAGCTTGCAAGGCCAAATCAGTCCCAAACTCAGTGAAGAAAGCCTAAGAGTTGAGTTCCAAAATTCAGATAAGCACAACTCAAGCATCAGGGCTATGTGGAGGCCTCGGGCTTTACATACCCACTGCAGTGTTGCCAGGTGTAAGATAATCATTGTATTTAGATGATAATTTCAACCCTTGTAAATGTACGATCAATAATAGGAAAAGTGTTCAAAATGTACGATAATTTTTGAGGCGGTTAACTGATTCAGCATATGCAAAACCCAAGTCATTCTCAGGGAGTTTTAACTGACTTTTGGGTTTGTCCTTTTTTATTAATATATTTTGTGTTCCAAGTCCAATCAGCCAAATCATATCGACTGAGCAGAATTCAATCATTCCAAAAACCATATCGAATGAGCAGGCAGAACTCAATCGTTCTAAACACCACATACGGTGCTACAACCAGTGAACATCCTCCCTCCCAGCCTCTCACCCTGGGGCATCAGATACTCCATAATCCACTGGCTGGCATCCTACACGCAGGCCCAAGCCCAGAGATCTGATTCAGATGCCCCCACTCGATTTTAGCTGAGACACTTGACCTGAACACAAAATGACTTTTGGGCTTGCTGTCGGCACTTTCTTAGGACTGCTTGTCTCAAAATAAAAGGAACCCTTCAATTTTGATAGCCTAGTTCTCACTCACTCATTGCTGGCTTACAGCGAGCAATATGAAATAAATAAAACAACTTATTTGCATGCTTTTTTTCAGCGTACAATAGTTTTTCAGCAATTACAAGCATTTCAAGCTTCCAGTACCATCGTTTCATATTTAAGACCTTGGCAACTGCTAGTCTCCTTTGTTCTTAGGCACTGTAGCTGACTGAAGCTGGGTTAGGGTTAGGCTTGGGGTTCAGGGTACAGCAGCTTTCCAGCAGTTACAAGCGTTTTGAGCTTCCAATACCATCATTTCGTATTTAAGACCTGGCAGCTGCCGGTCTCCCTTGATCTTAGACATTGGCTGGCTGAAGCTAGGTTCGGGTTAGGCTTGGGGTCCAGTGAAGGATCGTTTTTCGGCAGTTAGGCCACTTTGGTAATTGCTGAAAAACTATTAAGAAGATCATTTCATATTTCACACCTGGCAACGCTGCCCCCCTGGCTGGCGGCACACAGGGACGGGCGGGCTGGGGGCTACCCGGCTCTGCAGCAGGTGGGAGGAGCCCGCTCTGCCTGCAAGGCTCGCACAGCACAGGCTCTTGTTTCCACCCACCCCGCGCCAGCCGGGTAAAGGCACGGGGGAAGGATCCTGAGCATCCTCCCTTGGCTCAGCTGCAGTGTCAGCGCCCTGCACACGGGGTGGGGAGCTGTACATGAGCCCGCAAGGCGGATCCCCGCGGGCGGCGGAGACGGGGTACCTGGCGCACGCTTACTGCTGCCGCTGCTCTGGGGACATCTGGCGCGCGCGGAGGCGGGAGCGAGGCTAGCGAAGCCGGATGGAATCGATGGCGCCGGCAGATCGGTTGTTCTGCGATCGATTAGAGCGCGGCCGAACCCGGCCGGGTGGGGGGGAGGTTTCCGCAGAGCCCTGGGGCTTCCAGTGCTGTGCCCGCACCACGTGACCCCTCGAGGGCGGGGCGGCTGCTCCCTTGCCCGGACACGCTGCAGGGGTGCGTCCCTGCAACGCTGCTGAAGCCCGGGTTTGCCCAGTCAGAAGAGGGTGCGGCTGTACTCGCCTTTGAAATAATAACGAAAGAAAAGTTTCCCCAGCCCCCCTTGCAGCCTGGAGACCTCCCGTTTGGATGGCAGAGGAAGGGATTTCTGGGCTCTGGTGGCAGGATCCTTTGCAGCAGCTTGAGACTGGCCCTCAGGGACCTGGCAGGGGAAACACCCTGTATCTGGGTCCGTGAAGGTAGTTTTCCTTAAGCGCCTGGGGGGAATAACTGTTCTTATGGCCTGGTTTAGTACCCACCTAGGTGTTGGGGATTTAGCCCACTTTATGGAAATGGGAGGGTTCTCCCTAGCTTGCTCCTGCGGCCGTACGGCTGAGGGTGAGCAAAACTTGGGGCAGGGCCATCCCTAGGGGAGGGTGAATCGGGGTGGCTGTCCTGGGCGTCACTCTTTGCAGGGCCGTGTGGAGCCAGGCGGGGCAGCCACCGTGATTCTGCTGCCACCAGCTTCACATCTGGCCACTTGGCACACCCCTCTGCCCCCATCACCAAATGTGGCATGTCCAGCCACTCGGTCCCACTGCCCCTCACCGCCAAATCTGCCACTGATTTCCTCACATCTGGGAGCAGGGCCCTGCTCACTGCTCCAGTTGTTTCTGCCTGGGGTCATCCCAATCCCAAGCCTCCAGGCTTGGGCCTGCATGTAAGATGCCTGCCAAAAGATGTTGGAAACATCTGAAGCACCTGGTGGGGGTAGAGGATGTTTGCAGGTTGTAGGGCTGCTTATGGTTCTGGACTGACTCATGGATTTGGATTTGATTTGGCTTGGAATGCAAAAAAAATCTTTAAAAAAAAAAGGTGTTTTTGGAGGGGGAAGATGTTGGAGCCAGAGCTTTATTCATCTTTCAAGGAAAAGAAACCTTTTGGCTTCACAATAATTCTGTCAAAGGAGCCAAAAAGAGCCATAAAAAAGGAACAACAACAAGGGGAGGTTTAAAAGTAACAGGACCCACATTAAAAAAAAAAAAAATCCCTAAAAATACAAGTGTAGGAGGAAGCCACTCTTAAAGAAGAGCCAAGGGTGGTGATAAGGCAGACAAAGTTCTTTGAGTAAATCTGATATCTTTTATAATTAGACCAACTCAAATAGTCGGAAAAAATAGGGGGGGTTCCAACTATTTAATTGGTCTAATAAAAGATATCAGATGTGTGCAAAGAACTTTGTCTGCCTATGTCCTTAGACCAACACATCTATAACCTATACCCCTGTAAGGGTGGTGCTAACATTCAGATTGGCTTTCTGCTGTCATCCAGGAAGCAGAAACCTCTCCCCTGCAGAGAAGCATAGTTACAAATAACACAAAAGACCTTTTGGAAGGGGGTTGTTGAATATTTAATAGATTTTTATTTTGTCTTCTTGCTGGCTGTGCATGCATAGAAGCAAGTATAAAGAATGATGCATATGTGATGCGTGTTACTTCAGCATTATTTCTCTTTAACTTGATTCGGGCACTGTGGTATTTTTGGAGTGTTAAACCTGAAGGGAGTCCCTTTTAAATGGAAGCAAGGTTGCGGACGTGGGAGCCATGCAGGAGTTTCGTATCATTGGTTTAAAACATACACAGTCCAGGCTGGTGCAACTCTGCAAGGCAGGACATTACAAGGAAAAATTCATAAAAAGATTAGGTTATGGTGCAAAGAAAGGCATTTTTGACAGTAACGGATTCCAGAGTTTTAGGACACAAACCCAGGGTTTATTTGACAAACATCTATATAGTTGACAAACACGATTCTCAGCTATGGTGTCATGACATATTTTTAAGGGTGATGTGCAATATTAGCACTGTTAGATGTGCAAATACCTACACATGATTCATAAGATAAACCCAGGAATCTCAAACAGGAATAAGTTATGTCAAAAACTTTCTGACCTGTTGTGGTCTTTCAAAGTTTTTTGCAATCAAAGAATTGCTCTGTTATATTGCCATAGTCAAGAAACAAATGAAAGCTAAGAGCCGGCATTTTTGGAAAGGTGCCTTGCCTCTAAAAGGGTTGAGACCTATTGTCATATATGGGGTGTATTACTATAGTGTCTAAACATCCAGAGCTGTTCATTTTTTTTTAATGGCGAACACAGGCACAGTAGGTTAAGTGACCCACCCAGGGTCACATAGGAAGGTTGTGGCTCAGCTCAGAATTGAACCAACAGCTCAAGTCCCAGTGAAGAGCTTTATCCTTTCCTTTAGACTAGCCTTTTTATCCTTAATAGGAGGCTCTGTGGGGCTGATCCAAAGTCACTGGAAAGAGTCCCATTAATCTCAGTGGCTTTTTGGATTTAAAACTGCCTGCACTAAATTTGTGTTTGCAGCATCAGGCTCGTTACTGGATTATTGTACATTAAATACATCACCAATGTTTAACTTTACAATAGTACCACTTGTCAGGGCTGTTTTGTGAGACACGAAGCCAAATACACTACTACTTAAGAAGTTCACCTTTCGGGTTATCAAAGTGCTTAAGGGTTACTGGCAAGAGCAGCAATTGGAAATCTAAAGCTATTTGTTCTTTGTTCCTTTCTGTTAAATTTTGCCAAACAAATCGGGGTATCACATACAACAAACTATAATAGAAACAGTCATTATCAATCACAAAATCTACGAGACATTATTCTTGTGTTAAGAACTATCTATATTAGTATTCTTTAACAATTGTGAAGTCAAAGTAAAAGTCGTATGTTATACAAATCATAACTGCATCATCATCATCATCCTCAATACTGTTGTAAACTACTAAAACTGCAAGTATTTCAGTGGGAAGGCCAATATTCTGAAATTAGATGCCAACGTCTGGGTCGAATTCCATGTTTTTAAGGGACTCTTCATAGGTACAAGGATTTTGACTTGCAGATCAGATGGCAGGACAAAGGCCTGGATTGCTTTACATTGGGCACATCTACACAAGATGCTGACTGCATAGCAGCCGAATAATACTGCACAGTGCAAACAGTGCTAATACATTACTATGCATTATTATTAGGCTACTGCACAGTAGCGTCACTTAAAAGGCATTCATTGGCACTACGATGCAGTAACTGGTTACTGTGCATTTATTTAGTACTTGACTATACAAGTACTAAATAAATGTGCAGTAACCACTGCACAGTAACGTCTTGTGTAGACGTGCCCATTGTGTCTGAAATTAGCTTCTTCTCTTCAGCGCCCTTGATTTATTTAGACCATGGAATTAGTTGCTTCTGAACTGTTTTAATTCATGATTGGGTTCACTTTCTGCTCCTCTTGCACTACCACAGTGCTACACTGTTTGTATTGACAGAACAGAAAGGCACCATTCTTTAAATGTCAAAAAAATACTGTCCTTTTTATTTATTTCATTACAAATATATTTATGGAAGATTAGATTTTTTTTTAAATATATATAAAAAAAATACATAAAAACCCAGTATTGTTTGGGATATAAAGTAGCTGACAATGTTCTTGTAAATTTAATGTTCCTGTACTGCAACGGTTGCACTCTGAGGCCCTGAAAATGGGACTTGAATGAGTTGCCACCTTTAAAGACGGTGTCCGATTTTGCTGATATTCCATTCTGAGGCTGCAAGAACAGTTGTCCTGTAACAAACGCCCTTTTCTCATGCTATAATACTTCTCAGATCATTTGGCATCTCTCTCTTTCCAGAGATCTCAGTATTTTCCCTGGGTTTCACTCCTATTTTGGCTGACAGCCCTGGCTTTCAGCTGAAATATAAGATTGTTATTTTGACAATTTAAAGGAATTATACTGAGCCCTGCAGTAGAGGGCAGCAAAGGAGCATGGCTCAGGAATTAAGATGACAGTTACTATCTTGAAGTTTGCTATTTGCTATTATTCACTGGAAGAGCAGAAACTGTTCAGGCAAACCAGGGGATCATGCAAGATCCAAGATTCAGCATGCAACCCTCTTTACATTCAGAAAGAGAAATGTGTCCAAAATTGGTGTGTATGCTGGGGGAAAAAAGCAGCAAGTTAAGAGAACAGCAAATAGAGGCTTCTAGTTAAACAGGAGGAGGATGCAGCCAATATGCCTGATATAAAGGACTCCATATCCTGTTTCTCCAGAGAGACTGAGCTCACAGTTATCCTGCAGCAATAAGCACTACACTGAAAATGGATCTGAAGTAATGACCAGAAATCTGCAGACCTTAGTGGCAGCCCCCCCAGAACAGCCTCCAATAGCTGTAAGCGTGGCATCATTGCCTCTGGTTGACCCAGTGCAACAGACCTTTGAGATCTTCTTTCAGATATGTGCTCCAGCAATTTGCAAGGGCATTATGTGTAAGGACTAAAATGCCCACGCAACTTTGTTCCTCAAAGTTAGTAAGAAACTTCATAGAGTGGTATTAGAACAGTCTTCCCTTGGGCAACTGGGGGCAGGGAGGGAATAGATACAATATGGAAGCATTCAGTGTAAGATATTAAAACACAGCAATAAATTTCCACTTTTTAAGGCACATTTCAGCAAGTGCCCTCTGCCTCTCTATCACTGCCAGATACAATAACTTCCTCATTTCAATATTCTCTTCCCTTTCTTAAAATCCTACACTTTAACCAAAGGGAACTAGTAGCCAATAATCTGAAGCATAACACCATTCTTTTAAGTTGGATAAGAAATAACCAAAGCAAGATCCAAGACATCTATTCCCCCACCCTGCTGACACCAAGCATATTGCTGCCACAATGTACTGGGCCCAGAGAGCTTTGAATAAATTTTAAGTTCTGTGCTGCTTCTACTAAGCAACTGCAATGGCCTCTGCTCTCTTCCTCTTATTTAACATTCTCTGCTTCCTCCTTGCCTTTTTTTTCTTTCAGTTTTCCA